GTCTACTTTGTGTAGGCCTTTTTTCTGCCCGTTACTTTCTCTTTGTGTTCAAAGCTTTGTACTAAGCCCTTCTCTCACTGTATTAATGTGCTCCCAGCAATTCTGCCTATTGCTAACTGTTTACACAAATAAATTCTTTTTCTAGAGGTTTCCACAACTACCTTCAAGTTCATTAATTCTCTAAATGGACTCAAAAAATTTGTTACATGCTATAATTATGGCTTACTTCAACAAAAAGATTCAGATAAAAATCAGCCAAGAGAAAGGGAGTATGGGGCGAAGTCCAGGAAAACTATGCCCAGGTTTCCTGGTGCCTCTTCCCAGTGGAGTTACGAAAGGACATATTTAATTCTCCCAGCAACGGTTTGTGGCAATACATATGAAGTGTTGCTAACCAGTGAAACTCACCTGAGCCTTGGTGTCCAGGGTTTTTATTTAGCATCAGTGCCTGTGTACCTGATCTCAGCTGCTCAGAGTCCAGCACCTCTACTTGATTTCCTGAGCCAAAAATTATGTTCCCCACCAGTCACATTACTAGGGCAGACTTACCTGGCTCAACTGTTATAGCATGGTGTCAAGCTTCAGAGAAGCTCTGAGCACACACAACCCTCCAAAGGCTCAGAGGTTATCTCCCAGGCGCCTTCCAGTGGTCAGCCTTGACAACAGACCTTTCTCTGTCATGTGAAGGGCCTGAATAAGCCTTCCTTGCCCACTTCTGTTTCTGTATCTGTATCTTCAACTTCTAAATTTCCAATTCCTGTATCTGATTGCTATAGGACATCTCGCTTTAGCCATTGCAGATTCAACTTGTATAAAGTTGATTATATCATGGTATCACTCTGTTTTTGATCCTTCTTCTTACCTTCCAGAAACCCACTGACATTCTTGACTTTGCTCATATATTCCCCATATACATTATACTACCATCTCTTATAAAATTAAACATTATAAGTAATTCCAGATCTGCCTTTCCTCATCCTTCCTGCCACTTCCTACTCCAGGCCATATTTACCACATCCTGAAATTATTTAAGAGCTTCCGTCCAGCATTTCTGCCACTAGTATTCTTTATTGGCTTTAATATCTTTATTGAGCTATAAATCACATTGCAAAATATTCACCCATACAGAGTATACAACTCAGTGGTTTTTAGTATATTCACAGAATTTCTCAACTGTTATCATAATCTAACCATTTTTACTACCACCCATTAAATAAACCTCAAAACAAACAGCTGTCATTATTTATTTGTCTCCTTCCCTAGGCAACCACTAATTTTCTTTTTGTACTTTTTACACAGCTTTTATTGAGACATAATTCATATACCATACAGTTAATCTAAGGTATACAGATCATTGTATTACTGTATAGTTGCAGTTATGCAACCATCATTGCAATCAGTTTTAGATTTTCATCATCCCCGAAAAGAAACCCCATACCTTTTAGCAGTCACTCCCCATTACACGCCCCTACCCTCCCTTACTTCTTTGTTCTATCTAACCATAAATCTGTCTCTTTGATTTGCCTGTTTTTGACATTTCATATAAAACATGTACAATATGTATAACCTTTTGTCCTGACTTCCTTCATGTAACATACAGTTTTCAAGGTTCATTCAAGTTGTTTTTCATTTTTGGATAGTATTCCCATGTATCATTATACCACATTTTATTTGTCCATTTGTCAGTTGAGGACTTTGGGGTTATTTCTACTTCTTAGCTATTATGAATGGTGCTGCTGTGAACATTCATGTATAAATTTTTGCATAAACACATGTTTTTATCTTCTGAGGTATTACCTATGAGTAGATTGATAGGTCATATGTAACTCTTGTTTAACACTTTTGAGGAGCTACTACATGTTTTTCCAAAGTGGCTGGACCATTTTACTTTACTATCAGCAAGGTTAAGAGTTTCAGTATCCCCATAGTCTCTTCAATACTAAATATTGGATGTTTCTTTGATTATTGTCATCCTAATGGGTATGTTCATGGTATTTCATCATGATTTTGATTGCATTTCCATAATGACTAAGAAAGTTGAGCCTCTTTTCATGGGCTTATTGACCATTTTATATCTCAAGAGAAATGTCTATTCAAGTCCTTTATCCTTTAAAATTTAGGTTATGTGTCCTTTTATTATTGGGTTGTTATGGCATTTTGTATATTCTGAATACAAGTTCCTTATCAGATACATCAAAAATTTTTTTCTGTGAGATAATGTGGTAGTATTCTTTATAGCACAACATCTTAAAATTGTGATTTAGTGCAATATTTCTACTTTTCTTTACACTTTGCTTTTGGTATCTTATCCAAGAAATCATTACATAACATAGGTTGTGAAGATTTACATCATTGTTTTCTTCTAAGAGTTTCACAATAGCTCTTAATTTAGGTCTCTGATCCATTTTGATCTAATTTTTGTGTATGGCCCACATTACAGGTCTCACTTTAATTTTTTGATGTGGATATTCAGTTGTTTCAGTACAATTTGTTAAAGTGACTATTTGAAAATCAACTTACAGTAAATTATGTCTGGGGTCTCAATTCTGTTTCATTGATCTTTATGTCTGCCCTTTAAGCCAGTACTATATTGCCTTGATTACTATAGCTTTTTATTAAGTTTTGAAGTGGGAACAGATCAGTCTTCCAACTTTGTTTTTGTTAAGAACAAAGATTCTTTGTTGTTCTTAAGATTATTCTGGCTATACTAGGTCCCTTGAATTTCTAAGTTTAGAATTAGCTTGTAGATTTCTGCAAAGAAGCCTCTTGATAGGGATTTTTAAAAATCTGTAGCTCTCGTCATCATTGTTAACAACATTAGGTCCTCATATCCAATAGCACTGGATATCATTGTTTACTTAGATTTTTAAAAATTTCTTCCAACATTTTGTAGCTTTTAGTATACAAATTATGCTCTTATTTCCTCTTATTTTACTTCTAATAAATTATGCTCTTAATTTATTTCTAATTTTGCTACTTTCTGTGCTGCTCTAAATTGAATTGTTTCCTTAATTTCATTTTTTGATTATTCATTTTTAGCGTGAAGAAAAATACAACTGATTTTTGTATATTGATTTTGTATCCTGCAACTTTGCTAAATTCACTTACTGGCTCTACTGTTTTTGTGGATTCTTTGTGATTTTCCATATACGGGATTATGCCATTTGTGAATAGAGATTAAGTTTTTCCCTTCCAATCTGAATACCATTTATTTCTTTTTCTTACACAATTGACCTAACTAGTACCTTGGCTCCAGTGTTGGATATAAGTGGTATGAGTAGACATCCTTATCTTGTTCCTGATCTTAGGATTCACCATTAAATCTCAGTTTTTCACCATTACATGTGTCGTTAGCTATAGGTTTTTCTAGTTTGTTGAGTGTTTCTGTCATTAAAGAGTGTTGGATTCTTATGTCAAATGTTTTTTCTGTGTATTAAAATGATTTTTTTCTCTTCTGTGTTACATCTATTAATTTTCAGATGTTAAACCTACCTTGCAATTGGTTTGTGTGTATATTCCGCTTTATTTATTTATGTTGCTGGATTTAGCTTCTTAATATTTTTCTGAGAGCCTTTGCATTTATAGTCATGAGGATACTCATCTGTAGGTTTCTTTTCTTACAGTGTCTTTGGTTTTGATACCAATACTGGCTTCATAGAATGAGGGGTTCCCTTCTTAATTTTTTGGAAGTTTGGGAAGGATTAGCATTAATTCTTCTTTAATTTGTATGTAGAATTCACCATTGAAGTCATGTGGGCCTATGCTTTTCTTTGCAGGCATTTTTGAGTACTAATTTAGGCTCTTATTACTATCTGTTCAGATTTTGTTTCTTCTTGTCAGTTTGCTAGTTTGTTTCTCTTTAGGAGTTTGTCTATGTCATCATGTCATCCAAGTTATCTTATTTGTTGGCATCTATTTGTTCATAGTATTTCCAAAGCACAGACCTAGATATACAATTCTTCTCCTTAAAACCATTAAATGTTTTTTAGTACCTCTAATTCTAGACATTTAAAGTTATATTTAAAATGACTTAAGGTTTTGCATGATTTTGTTTCTATTTCTCCAACTCTACTTTAAGACCCACCTTCTACCCCAAATTGTTTATATAATTCATCCATAGAGCACTTCTTTTGATTCCTTGGACACACCATTACTTTCTGGTGTTAAAATATGCTTTTTCCTCCCATCTGGAATACTTTATTGCCCCTCTTCTGGGAATAAGTTCACACTCCAGAACCTACTCTTACTACCCACAATTGAGTTAGATGACTTTCCCTTTTGATCATTTAGACTTAAACTTTCCTTTTGCTATGAAACAGATCACACTTTTATTTATAAATGACATGTCTTTCTTGATAATTATTTAGTTAGGGATACTAAGGAAAGGGGAGAAACCAAGGATGAGTCCCATATTTTTTCATTTGAATATTTAGACAATAATATAAGATAAGAAAGAGCAAGTTTTCAAGAATAAGGTGGTGTATTCAATTTTGGGAATGTTGCATTTTGCTACTTATACAGTATCCAAATGGGACTGGACAAAAAGAATGTGTGCATACGGTTCTTAACTGTGGTTACAGCTATCGTGTTCTCTGTGTGTGTCCTCTGTCAGACTGCGAGTTCCTTGGCTGTGGGGGCTTTGGCTTCTCCTCTGTGTTTTGTTAGTTGGCACAACATAGATGCTCAATAACTACTGTTTGAATTGAGTTGTAAATAATAATGCCTATATATCAGTTATATGGTGTTTAATTTTATTATACATATTTTATTTGGAAAGTATGACAAGCCTAGGGAGTTATGGCTGATTGTAAAATTTTTAATTTGGGGAAAAATACTGCTTTTTCTTTTTATAATTTATTGATACATTTTCATTTCAACAAACTCAAATCTTGTTGTATGATTTCAGTGGCTTTCCTTAAGCTAAAAAATTGTTTGCTTCTTGTCCTAAAACTTTGTATTTTTCATAAGAGGTCAGTTATGCTATCTTGTCTTCTATGTAGGACTATAATGATGAAATCAGACAAGCACAGCTCCAGGAATTAACATATTTGAATGGTGGTTCAGAAAACGCAGATGTACCAGTTCGAGGGAAACCCACCTTGCGTACGAGAGGTGTACCAACCCCCACAATAACCAGGTAGGTGTAATTCCTTGACTTACTTTTCTGTTGTCGTTAGAATAAGATACCATGGCAACAGGTTTAATGTTTCCTTTATTAATAATCAAGCAGCTGTATCAGTGTAACAGTATAAAGCCTATAAGAATATATTCAGACAGTATGATACCATCTGAAGGGGATTCACTTTGGACTGACATATTTCCAGGCTTAACTATAACCTGTACCACTTGTTAGGTAATGGCTAGAGATATTTATTTAATCACTCTGACATTGATTCCTTAATTCTTTAAAATGAGGCTTGTCTTTATGTAAGTACTAGCGTTTATATGCAAATTGAGATAGTGGAAGCTGTGTTCTCCCCATTGAGTACAGCATCAAGCTACTTCATTGCTGCATCTCCAGTGTTGAGAACAATGTCAGGGACCAAGTGAGTGTCCAGATCTCTGTTTAATTTTATTTACTGTAAAAGCTGTGTGGTATCTGAAAATTTCTGAGTTGACCCAGGCACAAAGAATATTTATGTTTGTCTCTGGATTGATGACTGCTTTTAATATGAAAAATGTTTTGATGAATTCATGTCAACTTACTTACACGAACCATAAATTGAGACATGACTGTCTCAAATTTATTTGCAATTTATTTTTAATTTTTAACTTTTGCCCCCATAGGAACTCAGTGGAGAGGTTAACAGATTATTCACTCATAATTATATATTTTTTCATTTAGAACAGTGCATGAAATAATTTAAAATACCATTCTTCTCTATCTCCAAGTTCATTTGGGGGAACTAAAACTAATTTCTCCTATTTAGTTTTGCTGATTAGCACACTGTTATTGCAGTGTAAAATAAGTATAGACCTGGGCATGGTACCAGGTAGGTTTTCTCTATTAAAAAAAAAAAAAGATTAATAATAATAGAATTGCTGTTGATGGTTTAATGAAACAATTTATGTAGGTGCTCAGTAAATGGCAAATCTCTTTCATTTCTGTTTCTTCATTAAATTTACTTGAAATCATAAGAAATTACTGACCTGCTATATTAGTTTCCTGCGGCTGCTGTGATGAGTTATGACAAATTTAGTGACTTTAAACACTAGAAATGTATCCTACTTTTGGAGGTTAGATGTTTGGAATGAGTATTACTAGACCAAAATCAAGGTGTTGGCAAACCTCCCCCTGGAGTTGCCTGGGAGGATCCTTCCCCTGTCTTGCCAGCTGCTGGTGCCCATGGGAGTCCCTTCACTTGTGGCTGCAGCACCCTGCCCTCTCCCTTGCCCGCATGTTGCTCCTCCTCCTAAGCCTGTCTCTGATCTCCATATGCCTCCCTTTTATAAGGATACATGTGATTATACCTAGGGCCCATCTGAACAATCCAGGGTAGTCTTTTCATCTCAAGATTCTTAACCTAATAATCACATCTGCAGAGGCCCTTTTGTTAAGTAAGGCAGCAAACAGAGCGAGTGCTTTTGGATAGGGAGCATAGAGAATAGAGCATGTCCAGTGCCATGTTTAGGGGATGTTGTACTCCTTAAACCAGATCGTCCATTTTTACTGAAGATGATTTCTAATTTAGTTTCCAGATTTTAAATCAAGTTGAAAATGTTAGGTTATGAACAGGTGAGGGAGGCGGAAGCTCTCTGCTACTTGGAGTACAGTGCCTGGAGAGTACCTCAGTCGGCCTGGATGAACAATCATCCCTCTTGATTACAGTCTATACGTCACTGCCTTTTAAATATAAAGTCTTCCCATTGTCTTGATGGTTAATGTTCTCTGATAGAGTTACTGTTGAGGTCACAGTTCATACTGTTTTTTAGTTTGTGGTGGAGCAATGGCTGGGTAGTACAAGGTTAAACATACACAAGGTGCCCATGTGTGTAGGGGGCATGATGGACCCTGGGCCCTTGGGCAGAGCCCTTTACACACACCCTGCTTTCTTTCCTCCATATGGTTATAGGCTTCCTTGGTACCAAATCTTCCAAATACTCTGCTTTTTGCAGTATAAAATCATATTACTAGAATAGGCACTCAAAGCCCTTCTGCATTTTTTCTGAGGACCTCTCTTCCATTTAGTCTTTATTGTTTACTTCGCCATATTTCCTGGGTGTTTAACCCTAGGCTGGAAACTGTCATGAAGTTTGTGCTTGCATCTTCCACACCTTTGTTCACATCGTCCCCTGTCTCCCATTCTGGTTTTCCTCTCTGCCTCTCTTCCCTGTTTACTATTTATCTTTAGATCTCCTACTAAAACTTATTTTATCAAACACTTACATGGCAGCTACTGTCGACTGAGTACTCTTCTAAGCACTTGATGTTAAAAAGGCTGAGGCTCATAACAGCCCTAGGAGGGGGCCACTGTTGTGTTAATGTCACCATTGTAAAAATGAGGAATGTGAGGCCAGGGGAGTTGGTTACTTGCCCAGGTTGGCAGCTGGTCCCTAGAGCCTGGCTCCGTAATCCACACCTCTCCCCTCGCTGGTCCTTCCCTTTCTTTTCATCAGACTCATCCTTTTTCTTCCATCCATTCTCCCACTAGCTTTTCCATAGAACTTACATTCTGTCACTTTTACTATATTTTCATCTTAGCATATACTTTCAATACAAGCTGTGGTGAAAAGCCTTCTGCACTTCTTTATTACTTTCTCTCATCAGATCACATATAGTAACTTGCTGAACTAGTATGTCCATCTAACAGAATAAAAATAAATTGACGTGGAAATTAGGATAGAAAATTACAAAAACCCCAAGGGCGGTGTTAGTACTCAGAAAAATACATGTTATTCTGTAGAGTTGGCAGAGGTGGTCTTTGGATTATGCTTTGAGCTTCTTAAAGACCAAAACTGGAGGAAATATGGTTACAGAATACATAGTGTCTAAATATCTAAAAACAGTAATGAAAAGACAAATGTGCTCATTGAAGCCTCGTACTTTGGAGCCCTGGGACTTGTGAGAAGTGTTGCCGGTGGACAGTGTTAAGCAGACCTTTGCCGTATCCAGTCAGTTACTGTCATTTTGATTTTTCCTCTGAAATGAACCTTAAGTATGTTTTTCTTTAGTCACCTCTTCCTATCCTCCTGATCTTTCCACGCTATTCTTCCAGTTTTCATTCACAGTCTTAATGGGTTTTTCAAACTAAATTAGATTGTCTCTCCTTGCTGCTTAGAATGCTCCAGATGCTTCTTTTGCAGCTGGAAGGAAACCCCGACTTCCTGATGTGAACGCCCACCACTGGCTCTCTGCTCCCCTTTCTGACGTGATCTCAGCCCGCCTGCCACTCTGCACTCCAGCCAGACTGGCTTCCTTTCTGTGCCTTAAACAGGACGAGCTTGTTTCTTTCCCGGGTCCTTCATGTTCAATCTTCTTACCCTCCGAATGCTTGGTCCCCAGGTGTCTCCCCTACACCCCCCCCCACACTTCTCCAGGCGCACAGGCACCTGTTGGAGAAGCCTTCCCCATGTCCTTGTTTAAAGTATCCCCCCACCCCCAATCCAGAAGCTGGTCCGTGACACGTGCTCCCCCCACCCCCAATCCAGAAGCTGGTCCGCGACACGTGTCTTGGTTACTTGCGCACAGGCACCTGTTGGAGAAGCCTTCCCCATTGCCCTGTGACACGTGCTCCCCCCACCCCCAATCCAGAAGCTGGTCCACGACATGTGCCCCCCCACCCCCAATCCAGAAGCTGGTCCGCGACACGTGTCTTGGTTACTTAGCAGCATTTATCAAATGGACCTTTCTTATTTGTTCACTTTTTTCACTGGTTACTCCTCATCATAATGTAAATGCACAAGGGCTCCATGTCCCTAGTACCTAACAAACTATACTCAGTAAATAATTGTTGAGTGAATATGGTACAATAGCAGATCATCTAGGCTCTTTCTGATCAAGTGCTGACCATTTACAATATATTCTGATAATGTAGTTTTTTGTCACATGACTGAATTTAGGGGATCAGCTGTGTGGGCAGGTCACGTGGACATTGCCACTTTGCAGTGTCACAGTGGAACACGTTATTGCTGGAATGTTCATGAAAGTTCCCCAGTGTCACCACTTTAGGAAACCTTTTGGCTAAAAGATGTAAACAATCCAAAATTAAATCCTACAGTGGGCAGTAACAAGTGTCTTAATAAAGCCTTTTCATTTAGGTTTCAAATGAGAGAACTAAACTTATCATGTTTTTCTTCGGCGATAAGGAAGTGTCTTTCCTTCCAGGCTGTCTTCTGCGATGCCCCATAAAGCAGTGCCGCGAGCACATTGCCTTCCGACCGCGCCCACAGACCCCGGCAGAGAGGGAGTTCAGGAAGTGACGCGGATGTAGAACTGTGGCCGCTGCAGACGGCACCCTGGTTTTATGCTTTTCCCAGTGCGTCTTCTGCCCCACAGTTGGTTCTGTTCTGCTGGTCCGGCCTGGACGGTGTGAACGCTCCAGGCCGCCCCGGCCATTCCCCTCCCACACAGCTGCGTGCTGTGTGTTCTCTCCACTGGCCTGGACTCTGGCCCTTCTGGCCCTTTCTCCCAAGCAACAGGCAGGCTTATCTCCCCGCATTCGATGCCAAAACCAGCAGGAAGAGAAGGTGAACAAGGAAGATGAAGCTTTTTTTTCTAAGTAGTAAATACATGTTCACTGGGCCCGGGGGCTGAACGTGGTGGTTTTGTTTTTGTTTTAACTGAGGGCATTGGGCTGTCCCAGGGACTCTTGGCCTTTTATTAGCTTTCGTCTCATCGGGGAGTTCTCATATAGTTTCTATAAGCATTTTACCTGCCCCTTGCTCTCTTTTCCTTCTTGGCCTGCAAACCTGCCTTAGATCTTAGGGTTGTACGTCCCACACTGTGTGCTGGGGTGGGGCTCGCAGCAGGCGCACGGGGCTGCTGGGGGACGGCTACCAGTTCCTGGGGCCGCTACACTAGCAGCATCTTTGAGTCACCGTGTGAGCTCTCAGTTTAAATTAGTCACTCTTAGTTTCAACAGCAGATTGCACCCTGCTGAGTTTAATGATGTCATATCTTTGTGACACTGGCACTTT